TGTTGATAAAAATTAATTTTCCGTGATATCTGAAAAAACATAATATAATTGTTATACATATAATTAAATATAACTATTATATGCACCTACATATAATTATGTATTACTGAAAAGGACATAAACCAAATGTATCATTTATAATATGTAGTAATAACTTGCTTGTCACTTTATTTTATATTACTTTCAAATAAACTTTCAAGCAACATTATAATATGTAAATTTATATTTTAATCAAATTAAGGACTAGCTCATCCTAGTAAAAAAACAAATAAATTAAGATTAGGCCAAACTAACGAGCTTATTTTAATGAGGATGACAGCGTTTATGAATATAATAAAATTGTTAATATGAACGATAAACGTTATACATAGCAAATCAACGCTATACGTGGTACATGTTTCAACCTAAATTGATCTTCTTCAGCCACTTAATAAATAAATCATTACAGATAATACGTTACATAGTAATATACAAATTAATACGTTACATCCATAGAGTCAAATCGGATAAAGAAATATGCTACAATTTAAGGAAGTCGTCGATATAAAGCGATTGAAACCCTCATCCCGGCACAATTTCTTGTCTGATATGTGGAAAGTTCAATGGAATAACCGATCAGTTGGCGAGGAATGAAAAGTCATTATTAAAGTCAAAGAACGAAGCCGGATCCTCCAAAATAAAGAGTTTCAATAATGAGTGAGAGAGAAATTAAAATGGTCAGTGTCAAGTACAGTAAACGTAATACTTGATACCGTATTATCTGTAACGTATTATCTGTAATGATTTATTTATTAAGTGGCTGAAGAAGACTAATTTAGGTTGAAACATGTACCACGTATAACGTTGATTTTCTATGTATAACGTTTGTCGTTCGTATTAACAATTTTATTATATTAATAAACGTTGTCATCCTCGTTAAAATAAGCTCGTTAGTTTGACTCTAATTTGTTTATTTTATATTTTTATATTTAGTAAATTAAAAAAAAATCGTAATAAATAATCGTTCCGCGTCCATTATATGTATACATACATACATACATACATCACGCGTGCACACGCACAAACACACACACATACACACACATATGTATTTATCTGAAATATTATTTTTGTCAACGTATTAAAATGTTGAGAAAAATTATAATATTTGAGCTCAGAATATTTTGACGTTCCAATATCTCATTTTTCAATAAATCATAAATATCTCACAAAATAAAAAATATTCTGATAGCTCCAATATCTCAGACATTCTTTTTACTATCTGGCGAGTATGTAAAATAATAATAAACATTTTTATAAAATATTATCTTATGATATATATTGAAAAAATGTAAGTCACTTCTGATAGATATTTGATAATAGATACTGACTTGTTGCGGGTACATGTTTGCTACTTTGTTATACTTAGCCCTCAAATGTACAACTTTGCTAGACCGTTGTAAAGTAAAAGTTTTGGTATATCAAACTTTTATATATCGTACGTGCACTTTCAGCTAAACATTAATCAATAACTATTTTACAGGGTCGGTTTAGAAATTATAAAACCAATTAATATAATAAAAGAAAAATTTTATCTTTGCCAAAAGATTTTCTCTATCTAAGAAATAAATAAATTTAAAAAATGTTCAAATATTTAAACTCAAACTTAATAAATATTTAGATAAATCTAAAACATTGTTTCAAATATACATACTATGTTTTCATGAAAACATTAAAAACAATATTAAAAATTTTGATCTTTGATGTCTTAATAATGCAACATAAATATATACAAAATATACTTTAAATATCCTCAAATTTTCTACATAGCTAACAAAAATTTTGCAGTTTGCGAAATATATTTAATAAGCACTTGAGTCCATATGCGGCCCTTTATCGAAGTTAACGACAGGTCGCAGTTGTTCAGTTCACAGAGGGGAAATAAGTACCCTATAATTCGATTCCCCAGGCTAAACAATCCAGTTATAAGCGTCACGCGCATTCTTGTTACCGACACGTGCATTATTAATGGCTACGGTATTCAGTCACAAAGAGGAGCAGTCTATAAAGTTGCTGCACACATGAAAAGTGCTAAGGAAACGGTCATATCGTAGATATGACAAAAGGGAAAGTTAGTTCCGCCGTAACTGCCGATATGGTCATCTCGATGCATTCGGGACATGAAGGTGCTTGTTCTTTTTCAATAGTCTCATTATAGCAATAAAAACATTTATTTTTAGTTAATAAATAGCAAATTGAATATGGTTTTCTATTAATTGCATGTACAGGACTTACATGTAAAAAGTAAAAAATATAATGATTTTATGAAAATATCTTCAAGTAGATAAATTGTAAACATTATATAGATAAAAAACGTAAATAATAATAATAATATTAATATAGAAAGTCATGCATTTTAATTTTAGTAAAATATTAAGTAATATTTATTTAAAAAAGAGCTCTATTAATTCTTACAATAATGTTTTTTAAAAATAGATTACAATTGGGTTATTACATTAAATCGATCTTGCTTGGGCTTGTTGGGAGTTTGGCCAGAATCCAATGAAACTCCACGAAGAAGATTGATGATGAACGTACGCGTAATTATTTTATTAAATATAATTATTTGGAGTTGCGTTATTCCATCTTTCCACTCTCTTATCAGAATATGGGGCAATATTACGTCTATGATCGATAATCTACAATATACATTACCGCTTTTAATATCACTAATGAAACTCGTTCTATTGTGGCGGAAGAAAAAAGGTACTCTTAAACTTGATGGAAATAATGATAATAGAAAAACCAAACTTATTCTAAATTTTATTTTCTCAATTTTTTCATAATGAATCTTAAGAAGAAGACAAATTTCTAGTTATTCTAAATTCTTGTAACTATATTATATATAATATTAAATGTAAAATCATTATATTTTAGTCACTAATTTGAAATTTAATTAATATAAAGATTTGATAATATAAAAGTTTTAAAAATAAAAGTATTTAATATATACAATAATCAATATTCAATAAAACACAAATATAATTTTGTTTCACTAAATTTTCTAACTTAAAATTTTATTATTTTTATTACTCTTTATTTGTCATTCTAGCAGTGGATTAACAACATAATTTTAACGCGTATAATTTATTTTTAATAGTTCTCGTATCAGTTTTAAAAATGGTTAAAGAGGACTGGATAAAATTAAAGACAGAAGAAGAAAGAGCTGTTATGATAAGACAAGCGCAGACCGCACGTCTAATCATGATTTGGGGATATTTTGTTATGTTTGTCTCGTTCATACTTGTTGTAATTCTTCCTTCTTTTAACATATCATTAAGATACGTAACAAATATTACCGATCCAGGCAAAGTGCTGCCACTGCAAACATATTACGTGTACAATGTAAGTAACAGTCCGTTTTATGAGACAACTTTCATCCTACAAGGCTTTAGTTTGATGGCAGCCGCTACTATGTACACCGGCACGGACACTTTCATGGGTTATTTGATTTTCCATATATGTGGTCAACTCGAAAATTTCAGGACGCGAATTCTTAATCTGGATAAATTTAATCACTTCGAGGAAGCACTATCATCTAGCGTACAGGAGCATATACGTCTTATCAGGTTTCGTACATACTGATAAAACAAAGAAGTTTTACAAATAAATTTAATAAATTTTACAGAAATTATAAAATATTTTCTAAAGCTTAGAATCTTCTTTATTTGTTCTATAAAGTTTTGTTAAGACAAGAGAAAAACACGATTTGTTAATCAATAGCAAAAGATTTTTTTGTTAAAAAGAAAGAAAAAAAGAAAGAAATTATTATTAATATACATACATATATACGTAGTAGGAATTTAATTATAAATATACACATACATAGCTACGTACAATAATATTTGTAAAACACAAGATTTTATGATTATAATTTACATAATGCTAATTATATAACTTTTTTAAACATTTGATATAATTGCATATGTATAATATACACATCATAAAATACATAAGTTTTGCTATTCGTATGTACTATTTATAATTATAAGAGATAATTGAATAAACATTGAAAATAAAAAAGAGGTAAAAGAAAATAATAATTATGTTATTCATTACTATTTTTCACTTACAGATTTATAAAAGTCGTTGACAATACATTTAACTTGATGCTGCTTAGTTTATTGGTTTATTTTGGCACACTTTTTGCCTTGTTTGGATTTTTATTTGTCACTGCAAGTATTTTTTCTAATTTATATTAATAGATTTCTTCCCTTCTCCATAATACAATCAAAATGCCAAAATTTACAACTAGAACTGTAATGTTTCAGCTTCTTTTATCTAATTCATTTCTCATCTAATATATTTATTAATTTATTAAAATAATTTACTGTGTTATTTATAAGCTTTGGCTACTCTAAATTGCCATAAACATGATGTATGTATGCATTTGGAAGAATTAGGAATGTTACTGCAAATATAAAAGCCTAATTACCATAGTAAATTAATATTTGACTACTTCTCAACAATTTACAGTTAAAAATAATTTTTTTACCTTTTTTTATTGAAAAGTAAAAATAACAGAAATAATACGAATTTAACATGTAACTCTAGTTAAAAATCGATCCGTTCAAATTAAGAGTATGATTGTACCGTGTGACTAATCAAATTTTACAGTATCTACAAATATATATATTGTATAATGCCACTAAATAAAGAGGATCTAAAGATCAAAATTAATTAAAAATTACAATCAAGTATAAATATAATTATTTATAATATATAATTTAATTAGTCGCACGTGCATATCCAGACTCACACTGGCAATTGATTTGTAACTATATAGTATGTACCTATAAGATACCCAGAAGATACAATTTAATCTTTATAGATAATTTAAACTGCTTCGACCTATTAATTTTATTTAAAAAAAACTATTTATTTATATTTATTATTTTAAGTACAAAATTTTAATGAAAAATTGTAATTGCATTTAGTCATTTTTACTACATATTTAGATAATGACACAAGGTCGTAATCTATCCATCGCTCGACTCTTTTACATTCTGACGGCTTTCACCAATACATTTACACATATGTGTCTTTATTGTGTGGTAGGCGAATTTTTAGTTATTCAAGTAAGTACTAATATTATTTCAATTATTGGTTTTTTATTTTTAGCATGCAACATAAGAATATATTAAATATTATTTATTAAAATATGTGACAAACTTAACATTTTTGTACTTTAATATAATCGTTTTTGTGTTTTTATCAAGTGTGATGGGATTTATGAGGCTGTTTATCATTACAAATGGTATGACCTAAAACCGAAGCAAGCTAAAAATCTATTAATTATAATGATGTTGGCCAATAGACCACTGCATCTTACTGCAGGAAAACTTTTTCCTATGACGATGGCTACATTTTGCAATGTACAATTTATTTTAAATTAACGTAATTGTTGTACAATACATATATTAAAGGATAAAAATATATACAAACTCTCTTTATTAAAATTTAATAAGAATTTCTTGTTAAATTAAATATTAAATATTTTTCTTATTAATTTTAATATTGGAAATTAGTAAATAGATTTAAAAAATATTATTAAAAATATTTAAAAATTTTCTGACTTGTAATTTAGTTGTGTCATTTTAGTTTAGTATCTCGTACACATAATGTTAAACCATAATAATAATGAAAAATGATTAATATAAACATCAATATTATATAAATTAAGTTCTATTATTTTATTATTATAAATTATAGAAAATAATTAAAATAACTAAATTAATTAGAAATATATTAAAAGTTTTTAATAAATTTTAATTATTAATTAATAATAATTGTAACACGAGTAGCAAAAAAACAAAACTAATTTGTAGATAAACGTAATATCTGTATCTATCTGATTATTTGTATTTTTTAATTATATTTCAGTTGTTAAAAACTTCTGGTGGTTACATATCGGTTTTGCTGGCACATCGTAATTGAACTAAAAACATTTATAAAATATTAAGTATAAAACAAATTGTGAGACAATGTTATTATATTGATAAGAATAATTTACATAGTAAAATTGTAACTATACAATGTTTCTTATTGTAACAATAAACTTTATTATAAATCAAATCCATATTCTAATTTTTCTATACTGATGTTATTTGATTATATATTTAACTAGAAGAAATTGAGTCTCGTCTAAATCATAAATAGCTGAATAGTGTTTTGTGAACCGACACGGATGATGGTGTGTAATAATTCTTACAATATCAAGCTACGTACAAACTGCGCGCCGCATATATTGTCGATCTTGAAACACAGTTCTTACATGAGGCCAGAATCCACTGTAACGAATTAAATTGTCAAACAATTTAATATTTTTGATGCTAATAAGCATCAATAAGAATTCCCTCCTCCACACCTGTAAAGATATTTATTTGATTAAATTTCCTTTTTGATATGAATAATGAATTTCATTTTAATTTATTGCTGCAATTTTAAAGCATATTTTATATTTTACATTATAAGTGTTTATAATATAATACAAAAATTTTGTAAAAAAAAATGTTTTGCAGATCTGATCTGTAAGTACAAATGTGATATTGCTATGACCGCACGAGTGAGTAATCGAAAATCCCCATATAGTGATAAATGATTAGAAGATATATAAGATGTAGGACACCCTTCAAAAATGTGCATGTCTCGTCGTTGCTAGGAAAACGCACGTATTTTATTTTATTTTCTTAAAAAATGCAGAAATATATTTAAAAAATTTGCAATATAATACATTATATAATATATATAATATGTACATATTACATTGTGTATAATAATGCATTACGATCATTTCTAGTGATGAGTAACGAATTAACTGTCCGAATTCTGTCCGTGTATATATATATATGTATATGTAACACATGGCTATAGTCAAATGTATAATTGTTTCGTATTTCAAGTTTTATTTTTCAAAGTTGACTTCAATGAAACAGAGGGAAACGAAAACTGTTTGAAAATTTCAAACTTTAGCTTAAAAAACTTTTAAATTGCTTATGTGAATAATGATAGTTCTAGTGAAGTGATGAATCAATAATGCGGCACAACAGGATTGGTTTTAGAAATTTCTAAACTTACACGTAATAAAAGAATGAAAAAATTAACTCTTAACAAATTGATTTTAAATAAAGAATAAAGAAATTCTAAGAGGATAAAATGTGATTGACATGCAGTAAAATATGTTTTCTGTAATTAATTTTTTTTAAATAATGAATTCTCATTTAATATTTTTATTTATACTTTTTGACAAATAAATTGTTTTATTATTTATTGCAAAAATGTGCGTATGTTAATTACATTGTATATACGTGCAACGTGTAAATTTTTCAATCAGTCATACATATGTATCAGGTTGAAATATTTTTAGAAGCACGTTGCGGCCCTGCATCGATAGTATACGCTTCTTTATTCGCTATCGAACCACTAAATAGTTTCTCATCTGTAGAATGAAATAACCGGCTATAAACATCATCCACCACAATATTCACTTCACGAATGTTGCATTGTTAATGTGTGGTGTATACACCTGTAGGCATTAAACTTAGTAAGTCTCGTCACACACGTAACGATCTACCGCTCTAATTGAGGCGAGAAAAAAAGAGAAGCTTAATCCCTTCGCAGACGCTGGTATGGATGTTTCAAAGTATTCAGCATACGTAGGTGTGCATTCTTTTCTTCGATTAATTTAAATAGAAAGATATAGCATTTCTCCATTTTTCTTGGGTGCATAATATTCGTGATCAAATATTTTTAGTTATTTTCTAACAAAACTCTTGCAAAAATACTAGTAAAATCTGACGAGGCAAAACTTCGAGATAAAGCTAACGGTAGCCTCGACAGTGTACGTATACTCACAGGTCATCACCCGACTTTTATATATTTGTGCCGCTTGACTAGCTAGCTAAAACATAGTAAAAATATAATCATATCTATTTGGAAAAAGCTGTACCTATTTCTCTGAAGATTTCTATTAATGCAGACAATGGTTGTACATATTTTACTTCAAAAGAAAATTTATGTCATTTGTGTCATTGTGTCAACTTTTTCTTACGTGCATTGCTTTATTACACATTTATACAAACACATACAATACACATATGTCATTTCTTTATAGTATAGTTTGTTTTCTTATTATTTTATTCTAGTTAATAATAATTAATTTAATTTAATTTAATTTAATTTAAGACTTAATATTTACCTATTATAAATATATGCCATATGATAGAGGTTTTTATTTTTTAACGAAAAAAAAGAGAAAAAGAAAGTGACAAAAAAAAGAAAAAAAACACATAACAATTATGGTCAACAAAGTAATTTAATTTTATTAAAATGTTTACTCGAAAATAAAAGGCGATTAAGAGTTAGGAGTAAAGATAGAATAAAAGATTTGGTGAGTTAGTCAGTAGCATTAAAATGCGATACATACACTGCGTTATAATAAGGTATGGATGGTATGGTGTAGTTAAGTATTTTATGTAAACCGAGTCCCTTTTTGGCAATGTGTAAGCTAAAGTAATAAATATCTATCTATTAAAATGTTTACTCACATTTAACTTTCTAAAAACAGATTATGAATGGGCTGTCGGATTAAATCGAACTAGCTTGACACTATTGGGAGTTTGGCCCAAAACTAACGAAACTAAACAGAAAAAATTAACATCTAACATCCGTACAGCTCTTATGTTAAACATTACAATCTATGGCTGCTTCATTCCAAGCGTACATTCTTTGTTTAAAGTTTGGGATGATACCGGTGATATAATGTCCATGATTGATAATCTGCAGTATACTTTACCACTTTGTATGTCAATAATGAAGACTTCCATTATGTGGCTGAGAAAGAAGGGTAATATATACATACATACTTTTGTAAATTATATGATAGTAAAGAACAATTTTATTAATTGATTCTTAATTTGCTATCTTTTCAAAATAAAATATCTTGTTTTAATTGTAAGTTTAATTATAATATACATATATATAATATTATGTTATCTGTGAATACAGATGTTCTACCGCTTTTAAACATGATTAAGAACGATTGGTTGAAACCGAAAATGATAAGAGAGAGGGATGTTATGATAAAACATGCAAGACTAGCACGTGTATTTACAATATTTGGATACTTTATGATGTTCGTCTCTTTCATTTTGGCTGCGATTCTTCCCGTTTTTGGCATTTCAATGAGATACTTGACAAATAAAACGGATCCGGGCAAATTAGTGCCGTTACAAACGTATTATATTTATGATCGAGATAAAAGCCCATTTTACGAGATAACTTATATTATGCAGAGTCTCGGCTTGTCGGTGTCCGCCATCATGTACACTAGTATAGACAGTTTCTTAAGTTTGTTAGTTTTTCACGTGTGTGGTCAGTTGGAAAATCTCAAGACACGTATTATATATCTGGATAAGTTTCAAAATTTCAAAAGTGCTCTATCGCACAACGTACAGGATCATATACGTCTTATTAGGTTACACTTATTTATTATTATATATCAATTATATTACCAATTATATTATCAATTATTATTTATATTATCAATAATATATCAATAATATTTTCCGTTTTTTTTCTTTTTTTAACTAAAATAAATGATTGCAAAACAAATGTCTATAATATTAATAATAATTTATTAATATTATTAAGAGGATCCTAAAGCAAAGACTGAATTTTGACGATGTCGATAATACAGATTATTTAATTCCAAACAAAAAAATATCAATAATAATGATATCTTTAATTCAGTTTCTTATATTATTATTTGGTCTCAATCAAGCGCGTACATCTGTTCTTATCAAACATATTGCAGAGCCACTTCTTGCGAGGTCTAGCAATTACTATTACACGCAATATTTCTCTTTTCGCCAATTCACACCTATATTTATGTTTATAAAATTTCTATTTCCTTTTAAAAAACCTTTTTTTACTATTTGATCTTAATTTCAATTGCTAATAAATATATGGTTCATACATGTTCATACATATCAACTGTAAACTGTAAGCTTTTGTATTAAGCAAATATTGTCGTCAGGTAACAGCTCTACGCATCAAAAACAAGCTATTTATAGTTTTTTTGTTTTTAATATAAAATTGATCTTCATTTTTGTGCGTACTTTAATTGTGTACAAAAATTTGCCATTCTATAAAATCAATTCAAATATACTTTTAATGAAAAAAATGTCGGTAATTTGCTTTACTTTAGGATCCCTTTAAGTTTTACTAAAGTTTGAAAATTAAAATCATTAATTTACGTTAAATACGGTTTATAAAATTGCAATAAATTATTTAAATATATATAAGATCTAAAACAATTTAAGTAAATATGCTTCATAAAAATTATTAAAATTTATTAGTACAATCCTTAACCTTCTTTATTAAGTGTTCTGAAATGTAGATTCGTTCACATATTTATTTTTCTCTTTGTAAAACTACGTCTTCATATAAAAGCTGTAAATAAATAAAACATTTTTCATTAGCCTATTTACTTTAATTATCATTTGAGATAACGTGAAATGACGAATTTTTTTTAACATTATGTCCAAATAACATAAAAATATTTACAAATATGACTTTTTAATTAATTTTTAATTGATCTACAGAAATTATTTTAAATAACTTTCTTTTGCAGATTTATTAATATAATCGATAATATATTTACATTAATGCTACTTGGTGCGCTATTTTATTTTGGCATATTATTTGCATTTTACGGGTTTTTATTGAGTACTGTAAGTATTCTTTCTTAATTACTGTTGCTTGCAAAAATAATATATTATATTTTAAATATCATATCTTTATTAATTAAAATATTTTCAAAAAAATTAATAAGCTATATATACGCGCGCGCGCGCGCGCACGTGTTTGCTCTCATACATTCCAAAAAATGTAAGAAATTATTTTCATACGTTTCTAAATTTTTAATATTGTCTTAACGTATTGTATTTTGTATAAATAATTGAAATTATATAATAAAGAATAATCATATACATGGGCTGTCCTAAAAGTAATGAGACTATTTTTGGCAGCCTCATCAGAATTGTCGTAGGGTAAATCTATTATAGACGGAGCCTTTGGTACGGGATGTCAGGTATACAGTCTGATTCTTTTCAGCTGCTTCCGAATCTTTCTAGCAGTCGATACTGTCAGTAAAGTGCGTTGTAATTTATTTTTGTGTCTTGTCACAGGCGAAATGCAGCAAGTAGTCTTGAGCAGCGTTAGGAGATCAAATTCTGAAGACAAAACATCGTCCTCATAATCTGTTCTTAACATTTCCAACGTTTCGGAACCAGATTTTCCCAGTTTCAGAATTTGATGGCTGTGATCGAACTGTGCTGAATTTTCGCCCGCGACAAGACACGAAAGTTACAACACACTTTGCTGACGGTACCGACTTCAAGAAAGACTCGGAAGTAACTGAGACGGGTCAGACTGTATACCTGACATTCCGCACCAAAAGCTCCGTCCAATAAATCCACCCTCTAACAATACTGATTGGGCCGCCAAAAATAGTCTCATTACTTTTAGGACAGACCATGTATAAAATCTGTATATAATGTAATGCAAATAATAAACAAACGCAAATTATAAATTATTATTAATATATTATCATATTCATATTTCTATACGTAATTAACACTAATTTTTCTTTATTTAAGATTCAAAAATTAAATAGGTACTTAATTTCATATTTAATCGTTTATTGTTTAGATAATGACTCAAGGTCGCAATCTATCAGTGCCACGTTTAACTTTCATTATAACGGTATTTGTCAATACATTTGCACACACATGTCTCTATTGCGCTGCAGGCGAAATCCTGGTCACACAAGTATGTTACCTTCTCAGTTAACATATTACGACCAGAATATAAATTACATAATATACTAATTAAGATATTTTTTCTCTCCAATATATATGATTAATGATACAAAATATAATTTATTGTTTATGACTATTGTTTGTAAAGTGCGAAGGAGTTTATGAAGCTGTGTGCAAGTATAAGTGGTACAACTTGGAGCCAAAGATAGCAAAAAATTTAATGATGATAATGATTCGAGCCAACAAATCATTGTACCTTACCGCTGGAAAACTGTTCCCTATGACGATGTCTACTTTTTGTAACGTAAGCTAGTTAACAGAAATTATTCAAGTCATTGTTTTTTTTAGCTTTCACAATTTTTCATATAGATAACATAAAAAATAAAATAAAGTAAAAAGTTGAATATATTGTTGCACAAAATATAAAATATCTGTAAAGTTTTATTTTTATCATCTAAAAATGATAAGTTAATTTGTATAACATTTTTTACAATAATAAATGCAAATATTTAAGATATAATTTTCTAAAATAATTTAAAAATCCTCTTAAATGGAATGTATGGAGTAGCATCCAAAATGTGAAAAAAAATGTTAATAGCTTTTAGATTAGTCCAGAGGGAGGGTTTACAATAATTATTCAATCTGTTTATTTTGTAAGATAAAATATATTGTATATTAAGAAGGAAAAATATAATTATATCATTAATTAAGTTAATTTTTCACGCCAACATACATTTTACATATAAATATTATATTTTAGTTGTTAAAAACATCGGGCGGTTACATATCGGTTTTGCTGGCACATCGATAATAAAAATAAAAATCTGCAAACATTGGATAAAAATCTGTTCTTGAGACTCATATTAGAATATAACAATTAATATATATTTGTAGTCATAACTTGAATCTAAATATGATAAACTTTGTTTATAAAATAGATATCTTATTCACTTATCAAATACATGTATTACAATAATAATGTTGTTGCATTACTTTAATTTATAATCCATAACAAATACAAATAAATTTATTATTCACAAATCAGTGAAGTTGTCTATTTGTAACAAAGACGTACAATGTAATTAGCTACAAAAATTTCTATACGTTTTTAGGAAATATTTTCATAATTTTACTTAATGTTCTTACTTTACGTAAAAAAATTTTACTTAAAAATTTCTAAAATTTGTTATAGTTTTATAAAAGATAAACAATATTTTATATTAAATCGTTCCAAAGCAGAAGAATTTTCAATTTATTTCAATTAAAAGATTTAAAATAATCAAATTAAGTATATATAGATCTTTCATATCTAAACCATATAAGTATAATTATTCTGTTCTAATAAATCTCGTCAAATACGGGCATTAATCTTTTATTAATAAAAATAAAAGTTTATTTACCGCATTTTTATGAGATTTATTAGAACAAAATACGAATTAAAATGTTATTATTAGATTTATAATAATTTTTTGGATTATTTTCATGGAAATTTACAATATTTAATTTGCTTGATAATACAAATATCGGTCATAATACACGATTGCTCATGAATTAAATAAAGATATGTACAATATTTTTATATCATTCTTAATTCAACATCATATAATTGTAATCTTCACGATAAATTCATTCTGACGTAAAAAAAATTGAATGGTATATTAATGCTATTCACAGCTGTGTACATATTTTGGTACATATATAAATTGCACCATATTCATTACTGTGCTTCTTAAAGTTTGTCAGGCGCGGTGTGAAAGCAGATCTACACAATGAGACAGCTAGCGTGTATCCTGATCGCATTGGCGATCGCAGGTATGTTAAACATTAAAAACTTGATAACATTTGATGTGACAATTTTACAAGTTCTATGTAATTAAAAATTGCATTTTTTATTAATTAATTTACTTTGTAAGTAAAAATAGATAATAATACGTTATATTTTGATTTTTATATTGCATATATTAAAACGCGTATAAATACATACTTGTGTAATTGCATACTGTACAATATGCTTAACTCAGAAATAGTCTCCTAGTTTTCTTTAACATAAATGAACATTCTGAGAATATCTTTACTAATTAAAAGTCATTATTAACATATTGTGTATTATTGACTGTTTTATATAATTTAGTAGTATTTGAAATTATTATGTATATAGATTTACTTAAATTTCCTAAAAAGTTAAAGAAAAATAATTACAAAAAGATTTAGTTGATTATTAGTAAAAAAATTACTGACTTATTTCTTGCTACTAAGCTGTGAAAAGTGAATATGTCATTTTAGGTGATTACTCCCGGATTAATATTATTAACTACTATATTTCTACGGCATTTATTGATTTTATTATTTTCATATTAATTATAATGTAATTATATTATTGTTTTATTATTTCTATTCTATTTATTAGTTATATTAGTATTTATTATTGTATTTATTAATTATACTAGCTTGTTAATATTCTATATAATTTCCGTAATTTTATATTTATAAATCGGTATTGTATATTAAAGTACTTTTAACGAATTATTAACGCACTACATGGCGTTTGGAAACTACTTTTACTGTACGTTCACAGGTGTTTATGGCGATGAACCGGACAAGTTAGTAAATGGAATACCCACCACCATAGAGAAGAACCCGCATTGTGTCTCCCTAAGAATCAAGAACAGCCATTTTTGCGGCGGTAGCATAATAGATGAAAAGTTCATCTTAACTGCTGGACATTGCGTGGCGCTCCTAGTTCAGAACCCCAGTCTAAAGCAACAAGCGACCGTCGTTACTGGCACAACCTACCTCAATTCGGGTGGACAGCATTATGAAATAAAAAATGTGTGGTACCACGATAATTATAATCCTCGCGCTTTGGGTAGAGGCCCTTATGACCTCGGTTTGATAGAGGTACAGTTTTGGAATAAACTATCTACATATTATATTAGCTTGTAACATATGTGGTACGCATGTTTATACTTTTTGCTATAATAACGATAACAGTAATGATGCTCAGGCTTCGAATGACGGAAAATACTTTAATTACTCCAACAATTTGACTCATTAGTATAAAATATTTTTTAGCTTACCGGGCCGATTCAATTTGACGAAAAAACCCAGCCAATTAAGCTCCCAACAAAGGATGTGAAAAAGGGTGACAGTGTTACAATCGCTGCCTGGGGTTCTACGGGCTTCAGAAAAACTATGCATAATGAATTGCAAAAATTGAACGCAGGTGTCATGCTTCCAAACGAATGTCAGACTTATCACAGTTTGTTTATGAGGATTCATCAGAAGAACGAGTTCTGTACCCTCATCAAGAAAGGAGTTGGATTGTGCAATGTAAGTAATATTACATTTGATAAAATAACCATTTGATTTTACTGTTTTACGTCTTTTTAATGTTTTCCGTCTACATTTGTCTGTTGTTATTACTTTTGCTTAATCATGACATTGTCATGATTCAATGATCACTCGCATTAAAATAAATCTATCTCGTCCAAGATAGTATTTTACATCATAATTAGCTCATGTTTGTGTATAGCATTAATTCTTAAATTAAGTAAAATTCTTTATACCATATTTCTCTTTATTATTTCAATTATTTATGTCAATAATAATGATAAATTACTAAAATTTTACCGTCTTAAATAATGCCAATTTTGCATTCAATATAATGCGTAAAATATTAATCTCTATCACATAAGAGGCAATATAATAATAATCTATTTTCCTGTTGCAGGGTGACAGCGGTAGCGGACTGTATGACGATGAAACCGGATGTATTGTCGGTTTGGTATCTGGTGGAAGACCGTGCGCCGAAGGTTATCCAGATGTATACACCAAAGTTTATCCCTACATTTCGTGGATCAATGAAAAAATGGGAAAATAATATCTTTCTTCCTGTATTACATATTATTAATACTTAATAAATTTTATTGAGCAAATGTATATCCTTCATTATACATATATTATTATTAATATAAATTGTTTGTATAGCTATTATTGAATTTTCGTTATTATGTGCACGTGCAAAAAAAAGCAGAAATGTTACTTGAGTTCTTTTTACATGTTCGTTTTGACAAAGTAATAAGTTAATAATTAAGCTAATTATTTAATTATTTACATAATATATTACATAATATATATAACATCAATTAAATTATTTTAATTATTAAATTTAAAAAAATTTAATATAGAAGTATTTACATACATATAACAGAAGAAATTAAAGATATATATTATGTATGTACTTTCGAATGTCTTCAGTCTTCCAGTCTTACATTTATTGTTAGCTATGAAAATACCTTCATCTTTTAAATATAAATCATTTATTTTTCAATATTTTTTAAAGTTGTAAAAATGTGTTATACAGATTTAAACCAAAGCATAAATATTATTGAGGCATCAGAAATATAAATGTATCGGATTAACGATACTATTTTATTGTACTGCTAGTTTATGTTTCTATTTTATTATGATACCATTATGCAGTATTATATCTCTCATAGTTATTTCGTTATCTTGTTACTTTTACACTCGTTTTCGTGTTACTTTTACAAATTTGGAAATCTTTTTTCGGAATTAGGAAAATAGACAATAACGAACGGCACAAAAACAAAAAAAATTAAAAAATTATCGACAATTCTCAATTTCTAGCGCCAATTGTAACAACATTTGTTTTATATAAATTTTTACACTTTGTACGTATAAAACAAGCTTGGTTCACTTTTAGGATTACATAAAAGGACAATACTATTGTACAAAAATCTAGGAGCTTTAATATAAGAGAAAGGCTTGTTTAAAAATATCGCGTGTATGCTTGCGACATTGATGTAGTAATAATCATGTATTTATGTTTACTACCAGTTCAATATCGCACACATCGTAAAAAATTTTCGTACAAAATTCTCGAAAATTAGGTGTCTAAATCTAATTCGAAGAATTTCATGTTATTTCTTCATATAAGTATACTACTAATTTAGCCTCCGGTACGAATTACAGAGCTTTTATATCAATAAGCACATGTTGTCACGACTTGACATCTCTAGACGAGACTATTAAGCTAGCACAGCCACTTCAGCACAATCGAATGCGACTTATATAAGAATTACTTCCTATTTATTTGCTAATTAATTGCTCTAATCTCGATTCTTTTCCTTACAGAAATAACCTAAAGAAAATTTGCGAGAATAGTATTTACATTATATTATTAAAACATGTTAATAAATTCGACAAAAAAACAATCAAATAATTTTAAAAATTTACTTTTTGTTTATAAATTAAATAAAGGCAAATATAAAAATCTTTTATTTTATCTACTGCCAGATAAATAAGTCAATTTTTGCTATTTAGCACAGAATTAAAAATATAGAAAAATTAAGTAAAATCTATCTGTATCCATCTGTAAATGTAGGTAACATGATTATATCTTTTTTTAAATTAATTTACTTTTATTACAATAAATAATTATTTTTATGCACAATCCTCCTTAACATTTTATTAGATGTATTGAGATGTATTTTCATGTACTTATTTATTTTTTTAATTATAAAAATGCAAAAAATGAAGTTTACATACACTAGCACATTTAACTTAATTATCCTACAGAATAACGTAAAATGATAAAATTCTTTGTAACTTGAATTTTATAATACAAATAATTAAAATAATTAAAAAATAATGTTTATATATAATTTTTTTATAACTTTCTATTACAGATTTATCAATATGATTGACAATATATTTAATGCTACTTGATGCATTGTTTAACTTTGGTATTTTATTATTTGCATTTTACAGTCTTTTACTGATGATTACTGTAAGTATTCCCTACCTACTAATTGCTTTTGCCTGCCGATAATGTAATATATTATAAATATCATATCTATAAGAATATTTTCTAAATATTTGATAAATTATATGTACTTACATATAAATAGATAAACACATTCGTATTTAACAGTTACATACGAGAAATGTTATCGTAAGAATTCCTTCTCGTATATTTCTAAGTGTTAATATATAAATAACTAAAATTATATAAATAAAACCTAAGCATACACGTATATGCAATCTGTATATGTATAATAACATAAATAATATATAAACATGTATTACGTAAATTATAATTAACATTAAATTAATATCTTAACTTACGTATTTAATCAATAATTGTTCTTTATTAAAGATTCAAAAATTAAATACTTAATTTTATATTCATTCGTTTGTTTAGATGGTGACTCAAGGTCGCGATCTGTCAGTACCACGTTTAACTTTCATTATGACGGCAATCTGTCAATGCATTTGCACACATGTCTCTATTGCGCTGTAAAAAAAATTTTGGTCACAAGTATATTATCTTTTCAGTTAATATATTACAAACAAAATATAAATTATATATAATGTAATAATATTAACATACATTTCTATCCAATACATAGTCTGTGATACAACATAAAATTTATTGCGTATATAGAAATTAATTTATTACAAACAAAATATAAATTATGTAATGTAATGTTTTATGCGATATGCGTGTATTAACTTTCCTATCCTATACATAGTCTGTGATACAACATATAATTTATGGCTACTATTTGTAAAATGCGAGGGAGTTTATGAAGTAATGCAAATACAAGTAAAACATCTTCGAGCCAAAGACTGCAAAAAACTTTATAATATTAATGATTTGAGTACAAATAATTAGCTCGAATCTTATGTTATCGCAAGGCAAACTGTTCCCTATAACGATGTTTATATTTTATAACGTAAGTCAGTTGATATAAATTGTCCAAGTCATTCTTTTTTTTAGCATTTCACGATTCTTCATATCGATAAAAAAAATTAAATAAAGCAAAAAGTTGAATATGTTGTTGTGCAAAATATAAAATATCTATAAAGTTTTATTTTTATCATCTAGAGATGATAAGTTTACATAACATTTTCTACAGTAAATGCAAACATTTAAAGCATTTAAATTCAAATATGATAAAGTATACTTTTGTTTATGAGATATGTGCATGTCTTATTCACTTGTGAACGATATGTCAAACATATTTATTATAATATTGTTACGATATCTTGATTTAAACCCCCCACATACAATATATTTCTTTTCAATATTTTGAAAAGACACATAACAAACGCAACTCAATTTATTCATAAATCAGTCATCGATTTGTAAGAAATAGATGTGTACGATATAAAGATGTGATTAATTTTGAAAATTTTGGATATGCTTTTGCAGCAGTATTTTGAAATATATTCTTTTATTTAAATTTATTTAACCTCTTCGATACGATCATCGACTAAAGTCGACAGTCACGAAAGGTGATCTTGTTTCGGCCATTAAGTAATATTACGCGATAGACGTGCTTACCAAGAAGGTTAAAAATGTTCAATATCTTTTGTATTTTTAGATATTTTATATAAATCGTTCCAAAGCATAAAAAAATTTGCAGATTATTTTAATTAAAAATAATTAAATTGAATATATAAGTCTTTTATATTTAAATCATATTAAAATTAAATTACTCGTATTTTATTCGGATAAATCTTATCAAAATCCGATCAATAATCTATTATTATCGTTAAAATGGTATTATTAGATTTATAATAACTTTCGGATTATTTTTAGATTATTGAAAATATATGTATATATTTCATTTACTTAACATTACAAATATCGCTCATAATACACGATTGCTTATAAATTGAATAAAGACATAAGCAGTATCTTAATATCGCTCTTAAATCAACATCTCATAATTGCAATTTGCGTGATAATCTCGTTATGACGCGATAAAAATGAATTTAAATGATGTTGTTGACACCTGTGTACATATTTCAATACATATATAAATTGTACCATACGCATTGGTCATTACTGTGCTTTCTGAAATTTGTCAGGTGCGGTGTGAAAGCAGATCTACGCAATGAGGCCGTTAGCGTGTATCCTGATCGCATTAGCGGTTGTAGGTAAGCTAATTATCAGAAACTTGGTGATAGTTTCTGTAACAATTTTATAAATTACACATAATTAATTTTTATTGATACATTTACTTTGTAAAAGCATTATGCCTTATATTTCGATTTTTATATTATAAAATCTGTGCATATAAATTTCATAATTGTATAATGTGCATTTTATAAAATGTTTAATTTTGTAAACTGTTATGTTCTCATTGTATTTATTAATTTTATTGTTTTCATTGTGTTATTTTATTATTCCTATTA